TACATATTTTCTATATGGATTTAATAGTTTTAATTTTTCAAGTGAATATTCATAATCTACATTCGATTGCACATATGTATCTACATACATATAAACTCGTAACATATGCATGAACTTATTTATCCGTGTTTAATCTTTTTTCATAATTGTTAATTTTCATTCTTTTTAAAACATATGACAATGGACATCCGGTGAATCGTATATAAAATATGATAAAATATATACTAAACATTAAAAAAGTTTGAAATAATTCTAAAACTAAATGGAAATAGGTACAAATAAAAATTGAAAAGCAGTAGAGTGTAAAACATTTTTCATACATTCTGTCATTATAATGACAGTCCTTGTATGAAATGCTATGTGGAGTGCAAAGTTAAGTGCAAAAACATTTTTTTGATAAATTGAAAGAAATATTAATTTGAACGTTTTTATTATGAATGAGAACATAAAAAAAACGAGAAAAAATAGAGTTAACCGTGTCAACTCTGTGATACCCATAGACCATATTATCATAATGATAAGCAAAATTTTAGTACTGTGTTTTCAATTTTTTTGTAAGATACGGCTAAACTACTAATGAAATTGTATCAGACGGGCGCACAAAACTAAATGGACTCAGAATTCGACGCTGATCAAAAACATACACTAAAGTCTATATCTAAGACCGTTATTTCTTAGCATTACAAGCGGTCAATCAAATTTAGTATAACCTTCGAACATACGTTCGTACGGTTATAAAAATATGGAATAAATTTTATTTTTTGATTTATTATTTTAAGAACTGAAGATTAAGCAAATTAGTTTTTAAAAATTTGTACTTATTTTTACAATTTTATATTTATATTTTAAGATATTCGGAATACTCGTACTTTCAATTGAATACAAAAAAAAAATAAACAAATTACAATTAATTCTCTTAATTAAATTAATATAATGAACTCATAAAATAGTAAGGTTTTTAAGATCTTTTAAGTCACTAATAACATTTATAAGTTAAGTAGAGTAAAATTAACATAGTAGAATTTTTACCTGCCCAACTCTCAAAATCATGTAATAATAATTACAACATAAATAGAAAATTTAAAATGCTGTACAATTCACAGGTTGTAATAAGCTTTTTGGTTTTCATATTTTTATAAGAAATTAGGCTATCATTCTTATTCTGAGTGTCTCATTCATATTTAATTCAACGTATTATTTACAAGAAAACTGCGAATTTCCTATGCAATTAAAAAAAGTATATTTAGTTGAAATTATGTAATCGACCACAATCGTTATTCATTTTTATTAATGTGAAAAAAAATTTCATCGAATTTTTATTTTTTTTATAATTAATTTATTGCATATCTTTATTAAATTGCATCTTTTATTACATCCTGGCAATATTTTAATACGAATAATAAAATTATGCCAAATCGTTAAGTACATACATGTTAGCTTATATGTATGCCCTTTAACATATAATTCTCATAATTATGTCTCAAATTTCAATTATACAATTTCCTGTTCTAATGAACATACATTTTACGAACATATTGTTCTTCATAATTATAATTTCGAAAACAATTCATTAATTAGAATAAGAAGCCATGCGAATCTCTTGTACATATGAAATTATTAATAATCTAATGAAATATTACTCAGTATACAGACTTTTATATAATTATTTTTTTGAATTTTAAAGTTTCCAATGAAATTAGAAATTATACTTAAATGTTCTTTATTAAGTTTATAATTTTAATTTCATCTCAAGGTAATTTATCATAGTTTCTCATTTAAATAATCTATAGACATTCACTTTAAAATGCAAACATTAGATTTATTAAGTTTTAAGTTATGATTGAGTAAGTTATTAATTTACACAATTATTCTGGTTTTATTTTTAATTTAATACTATTTTAAATTTGTACAGTATAAATAAAAACATAACCGATTACATTAATAATTGCATAATTTATGGAGTGAAAATCAAAGTAATTTAACTAAGATCTTAAAGTTGAATTTCTTTTTGATTATAGATGCATTCACACTAAGTTTTACATAAATAAAAAATAACTGGAAAATAAAATTTTTCTTTAAATCTAATATTTTGTAATGTTTATAAAAATTAACAAATAAAGTTGAGTCAAATTAATGTTTTATAATGTAGCACTTTTCCCTTAAACAAGTAAAAATATTGTGTTTTAAGAGCAATCTGTGTGCTACATTATTAAAATTAGTTTCATTCATATATGAATACATTTCAAAAATTGCATACATTTACGATAGGCAATGCATTAAATCTTTAAAATAAAAAAAAAATTTAGAGAGGCGTTAACATAATACTCGTATTTAAGGATTAATTACCTGAGTTAAGAAAAATAATTATATTTTTTAATGGCATGACAGTTACCGTTAGCTTTCGGAAATACAAATTTGAAAAAGCTTGCAGTTTCTTAAATATAAGGCGCCAAAAACTCTAATTTGACAAATTTCGAGAGTTGATAACTTGAGAAGTGGAAAATAATTTTTTTCTAACGAAATTAATTATTTATTAATTTCTAAAAACTGTAAAAATCTCAGAACCCTACAACCTGAAGTGTAGAAGAAAAACGATTTCAAAAATTTGTAAAAAACAGATTTTAGATAAAAATAAATTTTAAGGGCCATTTTGTTTTCGTAAAGTTCACATATGGAATGTTGTGGAAGAAGACGCCAGCTGCTACTTTTCTGCATTTTCAGAATTTAATAAACGTTTCTGGTAAATAATTACTACAAAAATTGTATTTTTAAGACTTCTAGGGACGGGAGATAATTAAAAATATTCTTCTATGGAAATAATGATCATGTACACATCTAAATAATGATCATGTAAATATCAGCTCTCTATCTTGACGGCTGTAGAAGGTTGCATGTAAGCATGTCCACGGACGGACAGAGTGAAACTAATAAGGACTTTTTTCAAAATTTTTCTGGAAAATTGCTAAAAAAAACAGGATAATATGATTATCTGGTTTTATGTTCTCTTATATTTTTAAAATATTATATTTGTATAAAATAAGGAAATTAACTTGAATTTAACTAGCTTTCATTATTTTATAAAAATTACCCGTGTAATTGAATTGAATAAAATCGAAAACGACTGCATTTTGCCTGTTAACCGGAACATTTTAAAACAAACATTTGGCAAAATATTTGAAGATAATATTCAAATAAAAAAAAATTTTTTTTGTTGGATTTTCTAAATTAGCTATATGAATTCAAAACATACACGAATGCATAAAAATTAAACGAGTTACTAAATCAAAAAATATGAATTTTGTTCAACTGCGGTAAATTTTAAAAGACTTAAAATATTTATACAATATTCCTGTTTTAACAAGGATTATAAAATCTTTTAGAGGTTAATAAAACATAATTTTTGCATCTGCAATAATTATGATTGCGCATGCTACTACTTTAGGAGAAAACCAAACTCATTGGAAATAACAAACTCATATATACAATATGAGATGATTTCACATAAAGTAGTAAAATATTCAAATATTTAAAAATTTAGTCATGTTGGTACACAAAAAAGAATATCAGGATTATGTATACATATAAGTTGATTCCTTTACTTAATCGGTTATTTTATCAATATAAAAATTTCAAAATTTGCTCTGTTTTTTACTTTCTTGATTTTCATTCATACTTTCGAAGTACAAAGTGTGTGCAAAATTAGTCTATTCCGCATTTAGTGTATTTTAGTTCACAAAGGCAATTTTATATTATAAACCTTTATTCAATTAATTAACCAAAAGAAAAAAATTATTATTTGTTACCAAACCAAAAGCACCAAAAGAAATTATTATTTGTTAATTCAACACTCACACAGTATGTCAATTTGCGCAATTCAAAATTAAACATGAAATTAGAAATTGAATTTTAATATGCCAAAATATATGAAAATCTCTTATACTCATGTGACATAATAAAAAAAAAATTTCCCCACATTTGATTATTCATTCAAAAAAAATTTCCGATTAAAAAAATTAAATTTAAATTTGCTACGGTTTAATGAGCATTAAATAAACATAATCGTCTGTAAAATTCATATTTTTTTTATTTGCGCTTCTTGGCTGTTCCAGGCATTAAAATCATAATTATCTTACATGTCAATTTTGCTTATAGTTTTTTTACATGCATACTTACATATGCATAACATGCTTTTGTATTTTTGTTTTCATAAATTATTTGAAGTTTGACATTAGAATTTGACACGGAATCCTTAACACCTCCAAAGCAAAGCAATAACCTTATTTAAGCTTTCCTATCATGGAGAAGGGGGGAAACGCATGACCTATTTACAGTTCAGCTGAATCAATTTTGATTTTTTAAAATTTTGAAAATATCATGGCTTCGAACTAAGGGCTTTGTTTAATGAGCACATTAAATTTTATTTTTCTACGAATTATAAACTTATCGGTTCAGAAAGTAGATGCTAAAGAAAATATTTCTTTTATAATAGTTGCGATTTTGACGCCTTGCTGTGGAAAAAAATTCCTTTACGTATAGCAATTTTATCAATTTTCATTGTTATTACAGATGGATTGATATTACAGTATATTTTTAAATATTTTATCAAGGTCCTTAATAAAGTTCACGAGAGGACCTGATCATACAAAATTTATTATAATAAAATCAAAGAGTTTGTCCGAAAAATTATTGTAAATTGCCTACATCTGTAAAGGCCAAAAAATTAAAGTTCGAAGCTACCTCTCCTGTATAGAATATCAACAGAAAAAACTAAAAATTTCTGTTTCAGAGCAGAAGTAGCTTCAACATTTTAAATTCGAATATAATACCAAAAAAATATCCACACATGCCTTGATTAAAGTACAATTACCATTAGTTATGTTGTGTGTGAAATAGTAAGTATTTTTCATTAATTAAATTTTCCCCACTTTACACTTTTTAAATGTAAAATTTATTAACGATACTTTTATTTATTGTTATATTTGCTTTTTTTGTATTTACAGATTGCAACATATTATACCGGTAATTTATAGTGACCCCAACAGTGAATTAATACTCAAGGAATAAAAATTTTTACAAGAAGATCAACATTGTGTGGCGGAAACCTATTATACAATTATTTTTTCCCTTTAATCAATTTTTTTTGTGATATTTACAGAAGTATACTTGAAATTCCATACACGTTTGTAAATAAGATAATTTTGTAACCTGCTAATAATATACACATACATTATATCCACACATAAACAATAGTAATATAGTATTGGATGATTGAAACTATAATATAATCTTCAGAAAATATAACGACCTTGAAATTGTGAATTAAAATTAAATTATCAATAAATAATTACTACATAAATACAGTATAATAATAGCAACGAAACTAAAATAATGTCACCGGCTTGTGAATGTCCGGTAAGTGTGCCTTCAGGGCCAACTTTAGCATCAACATGTGGCGGTAATGCATTCATGTTATTTATGGGATTATTAGAAGTTTTTATTAGATCACAATGTGATTTAGAAGATCCATGCGGTAGAGCTAGTTCAAGAGTGAGTATAATACTTTAATTATAAAACAATTTTTATACTATTTAATTAAAAATATAATGTTTATAAAACAATTTTTAAAGAATCTCTAGAAGATTATTCTTATTTTAAACACCGAATTTTAAAAAATACGTTTGTTATTTTCACTTTGTCCGTTCCTCTGTCCGTAAGTACTCGTATGTTTGCAAGACTTCTTTAACCTTTAAGATTTTTAGAAAAGAATCAGAAATCAAAGAACCAATTGAAGCCTTTTTTGCCGCTGATAATTAAATACTTTTGCTATAATAAAATAACCTTTGAAATTAAGTGTTATATTTTGAATTTGCTTTTTTTTTGTTGTTTTCTTGCAACTTTTTGCACATAATTTTTCTCTCTTATATTATGAGGATGTTTTAACTGATTGCAGCCATTAATAAATTATCAATTCCAATGTAACAAAACTTCTGATGTCATTACTACCCTTGCCCGAGCTATAATGTCCCAAAATTAGCAAAATATTCATTTTAGCAGCTAATTTCTAATTCGTACTGGATTTGTATATTATGTTCATATATTTTTATACTCCCAAAGTATGCAATACAAGTATATTTTTAAGAAAATTTAATTAAAAGAAATGTGCTACTTTATAAAGCTTTAGTTTAATTGCTTAAAGTTAATTGCCATTGTTAGTATTAATCTGTATTCTATATAAAATATAATTGTTGTTTTTTGAAAAAACTTTATAAAACTAAAAATTTTACATAAAAATTAATTCGTACACCATTGTGTACAATTTAGCTATACCGTTATAATAAAACGAGAAAAAAAGAGAGTTGACCTTGTCAACTCTGTGATACCCGTATGAATTTGTTATCCTATGTGCGAATAAAGATGCCATAACTGACTATGGGACTGACTATGACTTTAAATTGTCGCATATTAATTTATGCAAAATTTCAGTACTATGTATTTTTCAAAATACTGTGTGTGCCAAACTACTGTTGAAGTTGTATGGCAGCTACCAGAAAAAGCCAAGAAATTTTAACGAATTTTATCAAGCACATCGACCCGAGAAATTTCAATACCACAGCTTTTATAGTTTCTGAGATAAAGCCAAATAACTTTGGAAGTTGTACGACAGCTACCAGAAGGAGCAGAGCAATTTCTACAAGTTTTATCAAACACATTGGCCCTACTAATATATTCGTTTGTGTGAAATTTCAATACCACAGCTTTTATAGTTTCTGAGATAAAGCCAAATAACTTTTGAACTTGTATGATAGGTACCAGAAGGAGCCAAGTAATTTCAAGAACTTTTATGAGACACATTGGCCCTACTAATATATTTGCTTGTGTGAAATTTCAATACCATAGCTTTTTATAGTTTCTGAGATGTAGCCAAATAAATTTTTAAGATGTATGGCAGCTACCCGAATCGATGCCCCGATCATGTCCAATTTAAATAGGGTTCTGGCACTTACTACAATAAATCATTTGTGAAAATTTGGTGAATTTAGCTCAATTAGTTTTTGAGTTATCGCTGGGACGGACGGACGGACAGACAAAGCTAAGTGACGGACGGACTTGAGTCTATATCTAACACCGTTATTTCTTAGCGTTACAAACGGTAAGGCAAATTTAGTATACCTTTCGAACATACGTTGGTACGGGTATAAAAATGGGTGTTCTGGACTTTATTTTCAAATTATTAAATGTTATTCCAATTACATTATTCGTACAAATTTGTCTACAATCTAATATTCAAATAATATCCGTATATCCAATTTATTAGTCAAATAATAAATATTGTCGTGTAACAAATATATATTTTTCATTCGTAATTGGATTCAATTTTAAATTTATTTTATATTTTTAATTTCAGTTTCGTTCAGAGCCTGATTACGAATATGATTTTATTGTTGTTGGTGGAGGTTCTGGTGGCGCAACGGCTGCAGCCCGTTTATCAGAAGTACCTCATTGGAAAGTTTTACTTATAGAAGCAGGTATATATATTTTCTATAGGTATAGCAATTTTTATTTTAACAAATCTGTGAATATTGTTTGTACATCATATAGTAGGCAAAATCTTTATCTGTCTATTTTTTATATGCAACCAAACAATTAAAAGACTACTTCTTCTTAATAAATTACTCATCCAATCACCATGAATTTTTTTAAAACAATAATACGATGGTTTTTTAAAAAATTTTTAAAAAAACATTTCCGGTTCGGAAGTTTAAGGGAAAAAATCGAACTTTCAACCACTATTAAGCCCTCCTATACTAAAATTTAAAGACTATAAGTAGGGTCAGATGGAATTTTTTTGGAAAGATCCTGCCAATTTTTGTTGCGGAGATTTTCAGAAATCAGGTATGTATATAAGGCTCAAAGTGCGAATAAAACAATTCAGAAAAAAAATGTTATGGCTCAACTCACAGTACGAGTACAGATTTATAAAAAAAAATTTTAAGAATTTATGCGAAGTACACTTCTTGTTCATCTCAAACATGAACAAAATTTTAGCAAAATATTCGGGGGAAGAAAAAGATTTAAATCATTCGAGAAATTTGTTAAAGCACTAGAATAAATAAATAAAAACAAATACCACCTTCTTTCTTCTGGGATAGCAGCAACATGCGGCGAGATTCCATGTGCTTTATAAACAGAAACATGAAAAATTGCAAACAATAAATTTCCAGCAATAACTTTTTTTGTGCAATTTCCCATAAATACTCGTAATATACAAAAAACATAAAGTCAAAATTGTACTTGCATTTTTCTTTTTTTTTGTTTCTCAAATTTCATCAGTTCATCTTTGTAATTCTTTAATTATACGAGTAGCATAGAAATTTGAACTATGATATAATTTACATGAAATTTGATTTGCAATATTTTCTTTACTCCCCTTTTTTAATCTATGAAATTATTTTGTTATATACCTTGTATTTTAAAAATATGAAAATCGGACATAAAATTTAAAATAAATAAAAAAAAATATTTACAATTTTTCCATTTTATCGTGTTGATTAAATACCAAAGTTATTCCAATGGAGATATATCATAAAGATCGTCGTTAAAAGGGGGGCACGATTTCATGATTCTGTAAAATACCTTGTATATTTGGAAATATTTTGGGTAAAATTAAGAAAATAAGAAAATCATTAAATTTTTTACTTCAAATTCAAAAATTTCTATGGGAAAATTCAGTATTTTTTTATGTTCAAAATAAATTTGGATACCAATTTTCGTATGCCAAATAAGTGGACACTGCAGTCATTATAATATAGTTAAAATCTGTGTTTCTTTACAAGTATGTATTAAATAAAGATCACGAAATATTGAAATTTTCATATTATCATGTTTTTTCTGTTGTACTTTAAAATGATAAAATAATTTTATTTATTTTGTAATATAAGGAAAAATTTGTAATATTTCTCATATGGAGTGTTAAAAACACACCATTTTAATATAATTAAAACTAATATTACAATTTTAATTTCGTATGATAAAGTTTTTGAATATTTTTTTAATTTTTTGAAAAGACGACCTCAAATTTCCAATAATATTAGTGAAGGAACAAAATAAAACTAATCTAAGTAAGGTTTATGTATTTTTTCATCTATAATTTATTGAATTGCTTTAGGAATAACATTTAGCCTAATACCTGTGGAGCATTAAACAGTCATAATTTATTACAGTTTTAAACTTTGAAACATGTTATGTACAAATAAACAATAACAACGATAGTTGTTTATATTTTTCTTTTATATAACTTAGTTGTTTGAAAATAAATAATGAAAATTCCTTCAAACAATTGCAGAACAAATTATTACATGACTTTCTCAAAGGAACTAGTCAAGGCAGAAAGTAAAAAAAATAACTCTGTTCGAACTGGACTCGAATCAACGACCTACCTTTTTCTAGGCGGGCCAACATTGTCATATTTAAAAAAAATGAATTCCTCATGTATCTGTTATACGAGTATGTATAGACTACAGAGAACAAATAAATATTAGGAATATTGTTGTTAAGCCGATCAGTTAAAAAATTGTGATCACAGCTAGCTACAAACTAAATCAATTTAAAATCATATAATTTCTGACTTATTACGCAAATTTAGTAATAAAATGAAATTCAATTTGCAGTATACAAAACGATTTTAAATATCATGAATGTCTTTAATTTAAAATTTTTTAATTGCTTCTATCAATAAGCACAGTAATACCACATCTCAGGGAAACCAAAAAAAAAAAATAATAAGAAAAAGTAACATAAATCCTTTCCTAGTTGTTTCTATGATTTTTCGTCAATAACCGTAAATTTAAATATTTAAAAATGAACAAAAATTACAAAAGATCACCACAGTGTAATAAATAAAGAGCAAAATTTTTATTACAATTTCTTAAAGAAATCATTTTAATAAAAATCTATTTTATGAAAATATGAATTATCTGTTATTATAAAAAAATCTTTTCAAACCGTTTATGTCTTTCAACTTTTAATGGGTAAAAAATAATTAAGTATCTTTCAAAAGTCATATTTCATTTAAAAAGAAGGTATAAATTTTCTGTCTTAATTGTTATCAGCCCTTTAAAAGCAAAGATGATTTTAAAATAGAAAATCAATTATCAATAAATAATGGATAAGTTAAATAAAATCTTCCAGTGAATTTTTATAAGGTTATGACCTATGTATATAGAAAATCGTTTTTTAGCACTTTTCCAAAAATTTTTTGAAAAAAAGTGCTTATTAGTTTCACTCTGTCCGTCCGTCCGTCCGTCCGTCCGTCCGTCCGTCCGTCCGTCCGTCCGTCCGTCTGTCCGTCCGTCCGTCCGTCCGTCTGTCCGTGTGTCTGTTTACAAAACTTCTACACCCTTGAAGATAGAAAGCTGAAATTTTATATGTACATAGATCTTTACTAGAAACTTATTTCTGTAGAACAAAATTTTTACCTATCTCCTCCCCTCTAGAAGTTATACCCCCCTAAAACCCTAAAAATGGCCTTTTTTAACTATTTGTTGCAATGAAACCATAAGCATTTTTGAAATTTTGCAAACGCAGAAAAGCAGCGGCTTGCTTCCCCTAGCGCGGCATACTATATTTGAACTTTAGAAAAACAAAATGGCCGTTCAAATTTACCGTTATCTAAAGTCCTTTTTTTGCAAATTTTTGATGTCGTTTTTTTTCCAAACTACAGCCTGTAGAAGCTTGAAATTTTAGGAGCTTTTAGACATTATCAAATAGTTTATTTCGCTAGAAGAAAATTTTTTTCCATCTCCACCCCCTCTCAAGTTATCGCCTCTTGAAATTTGTAAAATTTGAATTTTTGACACCTTATATTTCCGAAACCGCAAGCTTTTTCAAATTTCTATTAACGCAAAAAGTTAACGGTAAATTCCATGAAATTAAAAAATATAATTATTTTTCTTAACTCACAAAATTAAACCTTAAAATCGAGCATTATGTTAACCCCACTTTATATTAATTTTTGCTTTATTTCAAAGACTGCATAAATCATTCATCCTAAATATATGCAATCCTAGAAATAGTTTTGTATATGAATGAAAATAATTTTAATAGTGTGATAGGTACATAGACTACATAGACTGTATTTAAAAGCAAAATTTTTATTTGTTGAAGGGAAAAGTGCTACAATACAAACCATTGGTTTGACCCAACTTTTTATTTATTAATTGTAGTATGACGAACTGCAAAATAATCTCCGAACAAGATTTATAAATTATTTTTGTTTTATTCACAATGAATTTATAGATAAAAATATTGTGACATTGTGTTATGAGTAATAGATGTTAAGTCTCTCTCCGACTCCATAATTATATTTTTTTTGAAGCGCAGTTACTAAATGAACACTTTATGACATTAAAGTAAGAGACTTACTATAATCAGTATGTATCTCTTTCATATTATGTGTATCTTCTGCTTTTGTTGTAAATTTAAGTGAAAATAAGCTAACGATTGAAGAAATTTAATTAATGTTTCAAAAATTTTAGAGTTAAAGCAAGAGTTTTATTCTTCTCAAGTAGACTGTTGAAAAATGGCAAAATTAATTGAAACAATGCCATCAAACCACATTTGTGGTACGTAATGTATTTTACTGATATTAATTTAAACCAAAACTCTTATATTAATTTTCACAGTTAGACCACAATTGTAATATTTATATGATGCACCTTTGCATTTATTGTTGCATTATTGTACACCTATTCGATTTTTGAATTAATACAATTAAAAAATAAAATTTTTGTAATCGGTTATCATCGTAGCGATAACTATTGTTAAGAAAAATTGAAAAAGATGACATTATGACAATAGTAAGATTTTTAGATACAGGATTTTATCATTTATGGATTAACTGATTCAAAAATTAAACGAGAAAAAAAGTAGAGTTGACCTTGTCAACTCTGTGATACCCGTACGAATTTGTTATCCTTTGTGCTAATAACTAATGTGCCATAACTAACTATGGGGCAGACTTTAAGTTGCCGTATTACCATATTAATTTATGCAAAATTTCAGTACTATGTGTTTTTCAAAATACTGGTTGTGCCAAACTACTACAGTTGTATGGCAGCTACCAGAAAGAGCCAAGAAATTTCAGCGAATTTTATCAAGCACATCGACCCTGCTAATATATTCACTTGTGTGAAATCTCAATATCACAGCTTTTATAGTTTCTGAGATATAGCCAAATAAATTTTGAAGTTGTATGGCAGCTACCCGAACCGGTACCCCGATCACGTCCAATTTAAATAAGGTTCTGGCACTTACTACAATAAATCATTTGTGAAAATTTGGTGAACTTAGCTCAATTAGTTTTTGAGTTATCGTTGGGACGGACGGACGGACGGACAGACAAAGCTAAATCAACTCAGAATTTGACGCTGATCAAAAACATACACTTGAGTCTATATCTAACACCGTTATTTCTTAGCGTTACAAACGGTAAGGCAAATTTAGTATACCTTTCGAACATACGTTCGTA